TATCAGTTTATTGCTCGTATTAGATCTGACATAAGGCCTCTCAACAAGACTCTGCTTTTACATAAAGCAGCATATGGCAGAGCTGATAAGTGAGCACTCGACACGTGATTTCCTCTCTGCTGCACCCCACACACACACACACACACACACACAAACACTGGGGAGGAGAATAAGAACAGCAAGCATAGACCTTGAAACAATTGATGATACTGATGGTGAGATAATAAACACACAATTCAAGTTCAAAGTGGAGTTAATAAACTTTTGTTGCAGCAGACATTTTGAGTTGTTTTAGCATGAGGTGAAACCAATTTTGTTGAATGATGGCTGAGTTCCATTAAATGTCCCAGTAAGCCATGACAGTGAGAGCTTGGAAGCAGCTCTCCTAAATGGAATGCGTTCCTTCTTTATGTTATTAATTACACCAGTGCTTGTTTTTACCATATTCCATATGTAGTTATAAACTGCAGTGTTAGATGTTTGGACCACTGAGATCACCATCATCCTGTTATAACATAAACAAGTACACAATGTGCTGGTTAGAACTCCACTGTCATCTGTTTTAATGTCACAGCTGTGCATTGTGGGTTATTCCCTTGAGCAAAAGTATGCAGAGTTGTAGATTTAAGGAAAGTGTGCATGAAAGGTTCAAAAGTCAGTTGGACGGCCTTTGAGCCCTCGCCTAGCTTCACAGTGGGAAAGCTCTGAGCCCTTGAACACTCCTCTGTTGCTCATGATTTGCATTGTGGGACAATAGAGTCAATTAACAGAACACTGAACAATCAGACATATTCTGTGCTCATACTAACATCAACCTGCTTTAGAAATGAAAAAGATCAGGGCAGTACAGCATTACATGGGAAGTGGCTCCATCTAGTGTACATATGAAGTCAACACAGGTGAAGCTTCAAACGTCTCTGTGCCTGATTGCCTTTTTGTCTCTCTGATTGCGTTTGATTGCAGTCACCATCTTGAGCTGTCTGATAAAATTAACAAGTTGTAACCACAGGGATCTTTCCTGTCGCTACTGATCATTCCACATGATGTGAATGCAGCACGACTGCCATTGCAGTGTGTGCATTTCGTAGACTGTATAATTAAAAAGTGCATTTGCATGTTTAGAGGGCTTTAGACCCAACTGGGTCCTTAAGACCTTGAACATTTGTTTCTATAATCATCAGCTATGCTACAAGATGAAGATGCCATGTTTTTTACCTTGGTGCAGATTTTGGTTTTCAGAAAATCTGGACAATATAATAAATTTAAATCATATGACTTGTAATTGTGTTTTAAACTATCTCAAATCTATTTTGAGGTTTGTGCATTTACAGTTGATGAGCAATCTCCACTAAATTACTTTATTAAGTAAATCTCAATTAAATAAAGTGTTAAACTTGTCTGAATAAAGTATCACTATTCATTAAATTAATAAAAGCAGCTTAAAAATTATATCAACAAATGAATATAAATGTAGGCCATCTGTGCTGATAACTCCCCTTGAATTTCAAATGCGATGTATTATTAAGTTCCTCGTAATCAGTCAAGAATAAATACTGATATCATTGATTTTGCAGAACCAAATGTATTTTGACTGCATCGCATATAAATTAAAGCATTGCACTCCTGCACTGCAGCTTGTTTACTGGGTTTGTGGGTATTCCTGCCTGTTTGCTAGCCTGCAGAGGTGTGTGTGTATGGGGTTGGATTGGCTTTTTTCAAGGTCTCAGAGCCATGGGTGAGGAAAGATCGCCTGAAACTGACTTGAGACAATTTTCTTAGCAGCCAGTAGCGTCCATCTTCCCCTGTCATTCCACAGACATCTAACATCAATCACATACACATGCACAAACACCTTTATCACATTAATCCTGACGTTTATTCTATTTTCTGCTCCTCCTTAGACTACTGCTGCACAGACACCAACATCAACAAATGGAAGGGGAGGAGTTGATGGAAATGTAATCGAGGAGAGAAAATCAAAAAGAAGAGAAGCTTGCACACTATTTAGACAGAAAAAAAGCAAGTTGCACAGAGTCATGGAGACAGAGAAAATGGAGAGGAGGAAAGGGAGGAGAGGAAATTCAGAAGAAGGGAAGGGTAGAGTGGAGAAGCATAAATAAATGAGAAGCCTGAAAGTGAAAAACGAATGAGAGCGAAAAAGAACTAACAGAGGCTCTGCTTGGCCTTTCAGTGCAAGTGCAGCTGATCAATGCGTCTTGTAAAGAGAACTGCCTGTTAATATGTACCGACATCACCAAGACAGGTTCTTCCCTCCCTCCCTTCTTCCCTTCCTGGTTCTGAAATAATGATAATGCTTCTCCTGTTATTCCACTAACAGAAACTCTTCACATCCCAATGCAATATACCAGCTTCTGTTTAACTGGAGCTTGCTCAGCTGATCATTAGGGCAACATGCAGGTATGCTAGCTTGAGTCTTGTAATTAGATTTTCTGCGCTGGTCACTTTCTAGTACTGTTTGTCATCCAGTGGAGGTGATTTTTGTAATAAGTGGGATTAATAGGTATGTGCTATATCGCTCCTGTGTGCAGGTACTCTTCTTCTCTACTCAAATCAATCAAAGAGAAAATTTAAGGAGGACGTCTCAATGCCCTCAGTCTCGCCCAAGTTGTATAATCCGGTGTTATGCAAGGCAGTGTGGACCAGTGGCCAGTAGGGGGAACTGTGTGAATGTGAGAAAGAGAAGGCACGGTGCAGTGCAAGGAGGTTAGATAAAGAATGATACTATATGTTTAGTCTTCAGGCTAGAAAGGTGTGCAGCAGTCCACCAGCTCGGTTACATAACACCATGTCTCAGGTCAGTTTAATGGCATATTAAGAAAACACCTCATTGAAAATTCATTATAACATTTTAAAACATTTAAAAATTACAGTATAATGAAGCAGACATATATTGCTTACATGCATAATTGAGTAAGTATTAGAGTCCGTTTGTGGCATTGTTTTCAGCCTGTCATTGTTTTCATGTGAATCCCAGCATCACTTTTAGTCCTACTGAAGTGATCATACATATCATCACCATGAAAACATCTCCCTCAGTCCTTAATCTGAAAAACAGACAGTGACAGTGATGACACAAATCTCTGGTATGTTCCTTTGGGCAACAACAAGAACATCAGCTGGATATGATGTATGTATATATGTTATAAGCCTGGAGCTAAATATTTAGTCAGAATAAGGATTTCCTTGTTTTATTCTTAAGGAGAGATCAAACTAAAACAACAGACATATCAAATACATCACAGCAAGGGGATCATTTATGCTTGAAGCCCCTAAGTGAAAGTTTAGAGAACAAACATTGTTTAAATAATTTATAAGAGAAACAAAAATATGGTATCACCGTTGTTTGTCCATGCTTCTCTTTTCTACAGAACGTTGGCGGGTAAAAGCAGGTAAGAAAGGTTTTTTTGTGTGATTCTAACATGGACTGAACTGAACTTACTGTCCTCCCTTACATCTGAACCAAAGGCTGGGGTTTTTATTTCAACTTGAGGCAGAAAAAAACACACTAAAACTCTAAAATACAAAATCTACACACATTCAAAAAAAAACTATGATTTTCATGTGATTCATCACGGCCATCTTGTTTGTGGAGAACAATCACCACTTTATGCTTCAGATTAAAAGCAATTTGGTTGCTGATAACTGGTTGAAGTGGTGTAATTTGGCCATGAGTAAGTTTTGTTTGATTACTATGACAATTATTTTATTAAAAGGCAGGATTAACTTTAACCAGTGAAAAAGTTACAACCCTATATCTTAGCAGCTTGCACTGATGATGGATAGGTTACTATAGCCCAACAAGTGGTTCACTTGAATGGAATACTATTTATTATTAGTCACACCTGTGTTTGACAAGTTACATTGTCCCCCATGAGATAGGTCTGACTGCAGCATCAAGTAGCAGGTAGATCAAGTTATCAAACTACTTACAGAACAGTAGAAGTGAAACTAAGGAGAGTGAGTAATGTCCGTCTTCATGCACCTGGACAGTGTACAGTGCAGAGTGGATGTCAGTTCAACTACTGTCACACATCATATCAGGGGTTACTTTAGGGTATCTGGATAATGTCTTGTTATTTTTCTTTTTTTTAATTAGACTTCCTCTCAGAACCCTTTGGGGCGTGTTCAGACTGTGGTTGGTTGACATCTGCCTCACTTGGATAACCATTCTTATGAGCACACAGACACTGGTGGTTTAACCCGAACTCTACCCAACTTGAGGGAGACTCCTTTCAACTGTATGTTTTTATTTGCTACAAAATAAAATGATTTAGATTATTACTTATCAAATGAATTATATTTGTCATGCTTACATTTTTTGGGGGTTGCTTTTTCTGTCAATACAACATATACAATGGACACCCTAAAAGGCAGGCTTTTACCAGTCAGTGGTGGAATATATGAACTTTACTCAAGTGCTGTTTGACAATTTTGACATACTTGTACTTTACTTTAATATTCAATACTAAACTACCCTGTAGTATACGTACAATTGGCTCCACATTAACATTAAAATGCTCTTACGTGTACTCAGAACAGTATAAGATTATGTAACAATATAACACTTTGAAAAGAGCCATTCTGCATATTGGGTACTATCAGCTTAGTACATTTAGCTGATAATACTTCTGTACTTTTACTCAAGTAACATTATGAATTCAGGACTTGTAATGGAGTATTTCTACTTTTACTTCAGTAAAGGATCTGAGTTCTTCGTCCTCCACTGTAAATAGTAGCCTATGTGAATATTAGGCCTACCAAAAACAAACAAAACAAACAACAAAAATTGCTAAAGGTGAAAAAGTGTATAATAAGTATTAACAATTTTTTTTTTATAATAGTGTAAGTTATTAAAGACGTGATGCATTTAATGACAACGTGCAGTCTCTCTCTCCTGCCGTTATGTGTGCAGCTTTTGTGTCTTTGGTAACCCCCAACAGTTTGGATGCTCGTGCACTTCCGGAACTTTCGTAATGCCTCCTTTTGTGCAGAGCGCGTGCAGGGACCAACAGGACCGACCCTCCTCTTTTAGCAAGAAAACTGATGAATGAGTGAAAGCGGCCGAGCCTGCCCTGCATCCCCTTACCACTTCACAAATAAAAGCTTTCCACTTGGAGGGATTCACCGCACAAACGTGGACGGAAGGTGAGAGACACATACCGGCTTTTCCGTCCGCTTGAACACGGTTTCTTTAAGTTAAACCTTTTCTTTCTGTTTGCTTTGTTTGCTTTGTTTGTTTGTTTGTTTGTTTGTTTTGGTGCGCAGCGTCAATTAGGCTCCAGACAATAGAGGAGCACGCTGCACTTGTGCACCTCCGTTTCTTCCTCCTGTCTGCATTGCTGTTGCAGCCTCCTTCTTCCGTGTTATGAAACGAGCGAGCACGCTGCTTTCTCTTTTTTCTTTTTTCTGTCTTTCTTTCTTTCCATAACGAGCTCTCGGAACGAGCCGTGACCGCGGCCGAGATGAAACCGGCGGGACACGCGAACAGCAGACAGAGCTGACACATCTGCGTCGGGGTTAAATAGCCTCGCTGACATGAATGAGCTCCCAATCTGTGGCTCTGTTACCTAACAGCCAGTTAGGCTATGAGGGCAAACCATACAGGAAGTGGCTTATGTAAAGAGTTATGTAAATCCAGGCTTAAATGTCAACTTAGGTGCTTTATGTTTACATACTCACTTAAGTCAGTTAGGATCTGTTATGTGCAGTCTGCAGTTGAAACCCCTAAAGTTGTTTTCAGTATCTAGAATAATTTAGTGAGCTCTTTGTGCAAAGGGACAGCTGAATGAAGCAGGGGGGTCGCGGTTAAGAGGTTAAAGAGCAGACTCAGGGTGACTCTTGGCTTAAAAATGTGCCTTTTAAGCAGCAGCAGCCGCTAGCCTCAAGCAGAGACTAGGAGGAAGCTACAGAGGTCTGATGGGTGAGCTTACCAGACCAGAGACGTAGACCTAGTCTTCAGCCAACGCTGACTCAAGTGACATCACTTGAGGTGGTTAATAAGCCTTCATGGGGCTTCCTCTGGAGCCACAACAGACTTCATACACCCTTTGTCACATACGCAGTAGTATCTACTCCCAAACACCTGTAAACAGACTTGGATGTGTAAAATTGTTGGAGTTCCCCTTTAAAAACAGACTTGTAGGGTGTGAAAACACATGTCATTTAACGGTTATTCTGCTTGTTTTCAAACTGGTGGCGTCGGTGTCTTAATTGTTTATTTAATTCATTCATTTGTTTTATTGTACCAGTTGAACGAACTGAGTTGGGTGTTTGTATTGTATTTTGGGGGGAATCAGAAGTTAAAAAGCAACAAGAGTTACTTTCCCATAAACACGGAGGGCTGACTCTGTTGACATAATGCCGTTACACATTAGTGTCTTATTTACACCTTTTTACAAGGTTATTTTGGCAGCAGGGAAAGCACAGGTGTAACTAATAACCTTAATTTTGTCCGCATTCCATTTATGTGCCAGTACCGCAGCCTTTTGTATTGTGTCGGCTGGCTCACTGTCATGGCTTACTGGGACACTTACTGTAAATGACAGTAAGTCATTCTTATTGATATTAGTATCAGCTGGGCTTTACCTGCTGATGAGCCAGAACATCTGCTGTGAAAAAGCTGAAAATTAGCTCAATATTTCTTGCAAGATTTCAGGTAGAACTCCCCAGTTTGATCCAACATGGGATCCGAATTCCTCTAGCTTTTCCCTCTGCGATGCACTTCAGTGATTTTCCTTCTTTTCCCACAGTCTCTCTTTACAGCCTACAGAGAAAAGGGTGTGAGCTTGTTTTGTGCTGGAGGACAGAGCTGAGGAGTCGTTCCCTGAAATCAATACCCAACATGTCTTCTAGTTGCAGTGCATTCTGGTCACTTGAGGTGATCTAAACTGTGGGTGTCACCTTCACTATGGATTTCTGTCTGTATGACTGTTGAATGTGTGTGTAAAAGAGCAGGTATGGACAGAGGCCATTGTTGGATTTTTCAGGTTTACTTTTCCTGCTGCAAAGGAAACGTTTCATCTGTTATCTTTGGTCCGTTATTAATGAGAATACACTGTTAATCAACACGATGAACCTCCTGTGCAAAAGCAAGGTGCATCATGTTATCTCTTAAAAGTCCTTTTGATGTGTTTTCCTTTTATTTACTGCCTGTGGTCAAGCTGTATCAAATATTAAAGCTTTCACTGTTGCACAGTTTGGGGAGTTTTGTAACGCTGATTGGGCATTTTGTTTCCAAGTCACATACTGTACCCGGTTGAGCGTCCCGTGGCAGGAAGATCATGTTCTCATAGTCTGATTCTCAGGCTTTTCTGTCAGTGTTGATTCATAGACTTTGTTCTTTTGATCTGACCTTGGATCCGGTATCCAGCCACTTCAGCCAGACTCAACCGAGCTAATGAAACTCTCTCGCTTTTCTCTTTCTTTTTTTTTTGATGAAAAGATGAAGAAAGATGTTAGTAAAGTGTAGAATGTGTTTGTCACAGGGTTGTTTGTGCTGGTGTACCTTCTTTAAACTCTGTCTGTAAAAATCTTAAGCCTGCAGTTAACTGGGGGTCAACAGACCCAACTCGTCATGGTGGTGGAGATATGTGTTGGTGTGAAGGTTGCAGCGCGTGCTTGCTTACGTTTGAATGCTTTGAACTTGTGATATGTTAGACCTATTGCAGACACTGCTCAGAGACCATGTGTGTCTAGTTTAGAGATTTACATAAGGCTGCCACATTTAATAATTATTTCATGGCGCAAACTCCCAAATCCAAGCAGAAGTTGTCATTTATGATTATATTTATGTTCCATTGCAAAATGATCTCTCAGTTGGTAATCTGTGTACCATCCAATTTTCTGTATTCCCCGAAATGATAATTTAGTTAAGAGTGTTGAAGACAGTTATAACGTTTGCAGAGTTAACAGGCTCATTCGAACACTAGTCTAGGTTAATTTCTTTGATTTTGTTCCCTTTTGGACCCACGTTTTCTGTTTTAATTTCGAAAAGATCTGGGGCGCTTCTCCTTTTCATCCCTTCCTTCATCCTTGCATCACTGCTTCAGCCTGTTCCTGTTTCTGAGCTCAGCGGGCGGCTGAGTACAGGAACAGAGCGCTCAAAGCAGCACCGGAGTGATGGAGGGAGCGAGGACAGGGGGAAGGGTGGCTACTGCCGGCCCTCTTGACGGCTATGCACATTAATGGCAGTTGAACATCAGATGAGATTTCATGTTTGTCTATGAGAGGGGAAGAACTGCGTGTGCAGAGCTTCACAGCATGGTTGGTAAGTAGTGTGTAAATGACGACAATATTACGTTTTCAGCAAAGAAAGCTTTTTATTTCTAATTTGCCTTTAAATGGAAGATAAAGAGAACAATTTAATTAATTGACAAAATCATGGAGGGAAGTACAGCTCACTTTATCTTTGCTCAGTTTAAATAAGTGATGGCAGCAATTATGTATGTGCACAAAAACATAACATGAAGTAGAATATGTGGATTCTAAATAATCTTTTGAGCGATACTGTCAAAAAGTGAGGTAGATCCGCCATAGTCTCCCTGACCCTGAATCCTACAACAGTGGGGGAGAAATGGTAGCACCAGTGTCTCTATCGACCTAAACTGCAAGGGAGGGCGTGATGGAGGCTGGCCAGAGCAGTATGTCTGACCTCCGCTGCTCATTTTCAAAGGAGACTGACGCATGACAGCAGGCAGTGTGGATCTAAGTAGAGATTTAGCAACAGTTTTAACTTCTCTCCTTATGGCCAGGGAGTTTAAACCACTGCAGAAGAAAGGGAGGGAGGAATGAGCATAGCTGAGTCTGAGACTCTGACCTCCGCAGCTTCCCATGTTTTAGTAATTCCTAAAGACATGTAGGGAGTGGATTGGAACGCTGTGTGGATGATAGTTTGCTACTATAGTCACTATAGCTCTTAAATCTTTAATGGCAGAGGAATGTCCCTGGTCTGCACCTTTTAGTTTTCCCGCCACATAAGCTTTCCGCTCTCATCCAGAGAGGTGAGAAAATTTAGGAAGATAGAAGCCTTGTCTCTCTGATTCTTGTCATAGTCGTAAAACTGTAAAGGAGAAAGGAATAGATGCAGCAAGGGACCACTGTCCTGGTTACAGCATTTAACCTGCTGTACATTATACATTACTATACAGTCATTTTCTAGCCTGTATATGGCTAAAACTGGAGTTGGAAGGATATATCTATCTAAGCAATGAAGGGGAAGGGGATGTAAGCAATCACAGCAGCAGGGAGGCTCAGTTGTCGGAGGAACGGTCTCATAGCTGAAAGGTCACAGACTCAGTTCATGTTCCTGACAAACTGTCTTTAACTGTGACATTTGGTTTGTTCTTTATTAGAAACACCTCCAACTACGGCCTCAAACATTAGGGAAATCAACTCCCGTAACACAAACACACATCTTCATAAATAGGATTTATTACAGGGTCTACATCTTCACTAGCATTTTTCATGTTGGGTAATTTTTTTAAACTCACAGTTACCGTTAATGTTGATATCAGGGCTTCTACTGATTTATATTGTCATGAGTAATAGTTTTCCTATATCAGTTCTGCATTTTTGCTATCAGTTCCATCATCCACAGTTTATCTGAACTTAATATGATGTTAATCAAATCAAGCGGGGTTCATCCAAAGTTACCATCTTTTCATATGAAATACCCTCTTTGTGTTTCCGGGACAGAACAAAATCTGCACAAATCTTTAAGCGTCAAGTTCAGTTTTGACTGACATGCAAATTCGTGCTGTTGACCAATAGCAAGCCATCATGACAGTGCATACCTTTCGAGTGAATGGAGAGTCCAAAACAGAGGAAGCTATCATAGCTTATGAGCTGTGTTGCACTATTCACTTTAACGTAACCACCTCTGTTTGAATATAAACTACTCCACAAAAGTGGAACGGTTTACTGCCGGTTATTTTGGTAGAGGTTGTGTTCACTGAGCTTGTCTGCGCTGATGATGATGATAGTTGTGACACTCAATAATATAAAAGTCCAGGCTAAACAAGTTGAAAGATGCATAGAGCCTCAGATGTTTTGTGGGTGAAGCTCATTAACAATCTTTCCAAATTACCACAAACATTGTAACAATTCAAACAAAGGTTCTTTATTTTTCTGTTGATAGGAATCTATTA